CATACAGATAGGTTGTTCGTTGTTTTCATACAAAGTGTATTACTCTAAATAAATTCAAAGGCCAAATCTTTGAAACTCAAACAATCAAGTTATAAGGAGAGCTTCCCTTGCTGAGACCTATAACATATATAAAATAGTTAATTATACTTCATCTTTTAGACTCGGTTTTTGACAACGTATTTTCAACATTTTGCTAATGATGCATTATTTTGCTTTTTTTTTCCTTCACAGTGAATCCACAGTCAACCAGCTTAGACCGATGAGTATCCATTTCAGACTGAAGAGTCACAACTTTTGGCATGCCATATCCATGTTCTCATATTCCCTCAAGTAATAAAACCCTGAGTTTTAGCTGGGTGTATTTCCAGGGGAAGTGTGGCCATATAACTAAGTTCTGGCCAATAGAATGTGAGCAGAAGTGGCATATGCAATTTCTGGGTTGTGCCCCTTAAAGTGGAAAGTGTGCCTTTTATTCTACTCCTTCTTCACCCATCTTGGTGCCTGGAACTTGGACTTGGTGACAAGCCATGTAGAACCAAGCAGATGAGGTTAATATTCTAGGGACACCGGTGGAACTATAGGATGGAAGGAGCCAACATATCAAAATTATGTGAGAAATGAATCAGACTGCTAAATGAGAAATAAAATTCTATGTTGTTTAAAGCCCTGTACGTCTTTGTTAAAGCAGCTTAATCTGTATCCTAATTGAAACACCTCACAATTTTAATTTCAATTGTATTGCATTTAGAATTTATGCTTTTCTTACTAATTGCTATTTCATTTTCATTAGTTGTTACAGAGTATGTAAGTCAAGGAGCAATCAAACATTCCAAGAAATATACACATTTCTGTATAAAGAGGAATGATAAATTTGCTAAAATTGATGGCCATTAACATCACGCAATAGTTCAAAATGATCATTTTATTGGCTAATTATAAAAATCCAAATCCAGTGAACAAACCCTGTTCTCAAGGTTATGTACAATGCCATCTACTCATAAAGAACATTAATGTAATCTGTTAGGGGAAGTGCACCTGAACATTGAACTTGGTTCTTTTTGGAGCAGCTAGGGCAAAAGCTAGAAGTATTCCAATAATTCATGATAAGCAAACAATTTCCAGTTGCTAAATCCTCTTAGCAGATGTAAATGAATTATTCTAAATCTATATTTAACAACATTTGACCCTCAGTTTTAAAGTTGGCTAAGAATAGTTTGTTCAGAAGAGATAATGGACACATTTAAAACTTTCTGATATGCACTTGGATTGTTCTAACTATGAACAATTTTAGAAAGTAGATTGCTATTAGATGCAAATTTCCACACATAAATAAGTCAGCTAGAGAACTAAGTGAGAAAGCAAGTTTTGAGTCATTTCTCTTAGAATTCTAAAGACAAGGAAGCAGTCAGGAAAGGAGAAATAATTTTAAATAAAGAGCCCTAGTGCCTAGAAGTTTTACTTCACTGTCATGTTCAATATGACCATAATTTCTTTTCTACTGTGGCTACCACATATAAAAGACAGTGAAGATAGAAGTAGCATTAGAAGAGGAGAAGAAATGTGTGTTTCTAGTCTGTCTAACTTTCTTTGGGCTACCAAGATTGAGCGAGAGTGGTAAGTCAGAAAACAGAAGCCCTAAATGTTGCTGAAAGAAAAAGAAATCACACGGCCTTCAGAGAACCTTTAGGGAGCATCTGGGAGAGGCTATGAGGACTTTCAGTTTCACAAACCATGAATAAGTCCTAAGAGTCATCTCATTTCAAAATGAAGATTTGTAGCAATAAATTAACTTCTCTCAACTTAGCTATTTTCACTAATGGAAGTGATGCCCATGTCACATGAACCAATCACAGAACGTCAGTCATCTATCCCAGATCTTATCCTGTGTTAATGGACTGAATTTTTTCCCCTCCAAAATATGCATGTTGAAGCCCTAACCCGCAATGTGACTGCATTTGGAGATACAGCCTTTAAGGAGGTAATTTAGGTTAAATGAGGTCATAAGGCTGGGCCCTAATCCAATAGGACTGGTATCCTTACAAGAAGAGGAAGAGCCACCACAGATCTCCCTCTCTCCATGTACACACAGACAAAAGGCCATGTGAAGACACAGTGAGAAAGTAGCCATCTACAAGCCAAGGAGAGGGGCCTCAGGAGAAATCAACCCTGTCAGTACCTTGATTTTAGACTTCCAGTCACCAAAGCTGTGAGAAAATAAACTTTTGTTGTTTAAACCACCAGTCTGTGGTATTCTGTAATGGCAGCCCAAGCTAACTAAGACATCCTGTTACTCTTGTCCCCGCCCGACAGGCACAATGCTCTAGCAGCAGCCCTTAGCTGCAGTCAAGTAAACGTCTCCAAAGACACATCGCTTCTTTTCTATTCCAAACTTTTGCTCATGTTACTCCTCATTATCACTATATCTGACTGTTTTGATAAAGAGCACCATTATTTCTTAAAGTATAACAGTAGGCAAAGTTAGTTAATCTCTCTCTCTCAGATCTTCCTGCCTATGATTGAAGCCTATTTGGAAGAGGAGGCTACAACTAAAGCACTAATGGGGGTTTTCTTACTCTGATTGCAGACAGAGCACACACATGGAACTAAACAACCTCTTCCAACAGGAATCATAAAGTAATTGCTTGCTAAATTTGCATTTGTCCAGCACTTTCACATACATAGATTTCATTTGATGCTCACAGGAGAAGACTAGGAAGCTGATAATTTTCTTGACCAAAACTAGATATAACTATGAAATATTATTTTAAAGTAATTAGTATTCAATATTATAATTTATTGGTTTTATTTTTCCAAGAAAATAAAGTCTTAACATATTTATCTGAAAAAGATTCTATCTACCAAAAATGTCCTTTTTTGGTAAAGGGGATAGATTTGTACTGAAGCAATCAAAGCTCTCACATATATTCACAAAATGGCTCATCAAGATTAAGGATCCCAGCATAGACAAAAGAGATTTCTCCAAATAGAAACCATACTTGATACTTGCAATTCACTTGCATCATATTCTAAGCAAAAAAAAAACCAAAAAAAAAAGCCCATTGAGTTCAAGTAATTCATCAAATTTAGGATATAAGAGATGTAGCAAGGCCAAATTGGAGTAATAAATTTACTAACTACTAAAGTTGATTTTTTTTAGAATACACTATCAGTTCTTTTGTCAACTTTTGAGTATTTCAGGTTACTCATTTACATGAGCACTTTGGTCTTTCCCAGCAAGGACACCTGTTTCTTTCCTTTCTGCTCAGCTACCAAAATAGCTACCCATTTTTACAGACACTAGGTCTCAAATGAGGTTTGAGGTCTTATTTTTTTTCTCTCTTCCAGTAGATGCCACTTGTCACCTTCTAAAGAAGTTTTCTTTTTAGTAATAAAGGTTTCACAAGTTTAGAAATACATCTTAAAATTTAACTGGAACCTTAGAAGCCATTGGTCATATTAATAAATCACATGGATTGGCATATCTTAAAATTTAGTGGTGGCATTATTCAGCAAAATGGGCCTCAATGAAACACAACACTTAAATAAATATTATAACTCCTAGGAAGCATTTCCCAGGGAGGCATTTTAAATTTAAGTTATACTGATTAATTATCAAAAAAAGATTATCCTCTTGGGAGAAATTTTTCTATGGGTCAATAATAAGCTTCTTTTCTATTTTTCAAAGATGAATAAAAACTTACTTTAGAGAGAAGGAAGAAAATATTTCAGAAGACAGAAGTTGGCCTCTGAACAAATTCCTTCTGTGACCGTGCTCACGTGTGAAACCCACGCAAAATAGTTGCCACTGCTTCAGCTTTACCTGGTACAGACAATGGGTGATTTTGTATGATTCAGAGTTTATATCTCACTTGCATCATTACTCACCGTTCAGACTTAAAATGTCACCAAGACTCAATGGCTTCTCTGGGCATATAGGCACAGTCGTACTATTCCTTTTCTGTGGTATTTGAAGTTGTTTATATGATGTGCTGCATAATCACCCCATGGGTAAAGTTTCAACGAAGGAAAAAAAACCAACCTTATTTTATTCTGATTAAAAGGATAATATAGGGGCCGGCCTGGTGGTGCAGCGATTAAGTGCGCACGTTCCGCTTCGGCGGCCCGGGGTTTGCTGGTTCGGATCCCATGCTGTGGTCGGCATCCCACATATAAAGTAGAGGAAGGTGGGCACAGATGTTAGCTCAGGGCCAATCTTCCTCAGCAAAAAGAGGAGGATTGGTTGCAGATGTTAGCTGAGGGCTAATCTTCCTCAAAAAAAAAGGATAATATATTTTCATATACAATATTCAAACAACTCATAAAAATGTATAGAAAAAAGTAAAAAACACCCCAAAGTCCTAGTTTTTATATGTGGCTACTATAAACTATTGTTATGATTTTGGAGAATATCTTCTCAGATGTCTCTCTAACAATATATATATTCTAAAATTTTAATGAACCAATACTAAGTATGTTATTTTTGTAACCTGATTTTTTTCACTTATCAGTGTGGCTTTCCATGTCAGTATATAATTGGTATACATAGATATATATCATATTCTTTAATGGCTGCATAATATTCCTATCCTCGTGTATGTCACAACGTATTGAAACAATCACCTCTTTAGGTTGCTTCCAACTTTTTGAGATTGTAAACTACAATGTAAAGACTATGTGATTTCAATTTTGTGTATTTGTCCAATTATTTCTTTGGGGCAATTTCTTAGCAATGGACTTTGCTGGATAAAAAAATATCCACATTTTGAACTTTTGATTTCTTTTAAATCTATATTCCCAAATTGCCTTCAGAAAGTTCTGTACCAATTTACTCTCACCAGCACTGTATGAGAATGTCTGTTCCCCCACGGCCTTGCAAACACTGAGTTTTGCCCATCCTTTCCAACTCTGGCAATATAATAGGTGTATTAGTCCCATTGCTGTGTCACAAGTTACCACAAACTTAGCAAATTAAAATGTATATAGCTCACAGTTTCTGTGAATCAGGAGTCCAGGTACAGTTTAATTATCTAAGATTTCTCACAAAGCTGAAATCAAGGCATGAGCCAGTGCTGGGGTCTCATGTGAAGGCTCAACTGAGGAATGATTCACTTCCAATCTCACTTACTTGGTTGTTGGCAGGATTCAGTTCCTTTCGGGTTTTTGGACTGAACAGTTCTCAGCTGGCTGTTGGCCAGAGGCTGCCCTCAGTTCTTGCCACATGTGCCTCTCCAACATGGCAACTTGCTCCATCAAAGCCATCAATGAAGAAAGTCTGTTAGCCAGATCAGAATCTTTTTTCTGATCACAGAAATGACCTTCCCTCACTGCTGAGGTAGTCCGTTCGTTCTTAGAAGCAAGTTACTTAAGGGGACAGAATTACACAAAGCTGTAAATATCAGAAGGCAGGGATCACTAAGGGCCATCTTGGAAAATGCCTACCACAGACCATCCTCTGGTCCCCAGTGATTCACATCACTTTCATATGCCAAATACATTCATCTTCTCCTAAGGTCTTCAAGAGTTTCATCCCATTATAGCATCTGCTCAAAGTTTAGGATCTCATCATCTAAATTAGGTCCATGTGAAGATGAGGCTCCTTAGGTGTAGTTTTGTTAAGTATGTCTCCTGGAGCACAATTTAGGGGAAGTGTGAAAGTGAAGAGACAAGTTTTCTTCCTCCTGGATACCCAACATACAACGCTGTGACAAGCAAAAGAAAACAACAATAGACATTCCCAAAGGGGGGAAATGGAAGTACGAAGGCATCAGTGTACCACAGCAATTCTGAAATACAATTCAGCAAATATTGGAAGTTCTTTGATTAGGTTTAAAAGTCTAGGAATAATTCTCCGTGGGTCTTGGCTCCACCCTATGGACTCTTGGTTTCACGTTCTGAGTCTCCACTTCTTTTTCACAAAAGGTAGTACCAGTTTGCAGCTTAGTTTTCTCAGCCTGCCTTCTGCCAGTAGAAGTTTGGAAGTCCAATACCTTCTTTTCATTTTGTACTCTCTGTCCCTTTCAGTCCAAAGTGGCAGTGTTTTTGGTGATACAATTTTCTCAAAAGTTTTGTCAGCTGTCTATGAATTTCACTGAGATTCATTGCATTGGACAAAAACCCCATCCAAAAATCTCTTCTAGGTAAAACCTTCTCTACTTTGGGCCCTGTTGATTTTGCTGAGGAACAATGCCCTTAAACTTCCTAGAAGGTCTCTGGTTTAATTAAGAGGTTCCTTGAGGCACACCCTTCATTTCTTTCAAGGTCCTTTTGTTTGACCGAATATTCCGTTCCTTTGATCTTTCTGAGGTTTTAACAAAAGGCTGTATAGTCACATCTTCAGTTTTTTCTCTATGCCACTTTTCCAGTCAGTGCTTGGAAGCCATTCTTAGTTTTAGGATCTTTTCCCATCTGAAAAGGCTGAAAATTTTCAAAATCATCAGGTCCTGGCTCCTTTTGCTTTACAGTTCTTTCTCTGAATTTATTTCTCTCCTCTAACATTTTACTATAAATATTGAGAAGAAACCTCGTAGCACCTTCAACACTTTTGCTTGGAAATTTCCATAACTATATATCTAAATTCATCATCTACACGTTCTGCTTTCCATATAATTGCAGGAGACATTTGGCTAAATTTTCTACCATTACATAACAAAGATGTCCCTTCCTCCAAAGATGCCCCTTCTAAAAACATGCTCCTCATTTCCTTTTAAGCCGCACTGGCATTGTCTTTAACATCTATATGTCTACTGACAGTCTGTTCAAAGCAATTTAGGCTTTCTCTATCAACCTCCTCAAAATTCTTACAGCCTGTGACTACTGCTTGGTTTCAAAGCCACTCCCCCATTTTTAGGTATTTATTATAGCAGCATTCCACTACCAGGTACTAAAACCTCAAAATTGTCTATTGGTACATAACAATATTACCACAAATTTATCAGACTAAAACAATACATATCTATTATCTCACAGTTTCTGTGGGTCAGGAACATGGACACAGCTTAACTGGCTGCTTTGCATTAGGGTCTCTCAGAAGGTGTCAGCCAGCACTGGGGTCTCATCTGATGCTCAACCAGAGAAAGATGTTTCCAAACTCACATGGTGGTTGGCAGGATTCAGTTCTTTCTGGGTTGTCAGACTGAGGGTGTTGCTTTCTTGCTGGCTGCTGGTAGGAGGCCACCCTTATTTTCTTAGCATATGGGCCTCTCCTCAGGGAAGCTTACTGCATCAAAACCAGCAAGGGAAAGTGAAAATAGTGTCTATTAGCAAGGTGGAAGCTACAATTTTATGTAACATAATCACAGAAGTGACATCCCATCGACCTTTTCCATATTCTATTGGTTAGAAGCAATATCTCCCATGCTCAAGGGAAGAGGATTACACAAGGATGTAAATACCAGGAGGCAGGATAACTGGGGGGCATGTTAGACTCTTTCCTCCACAATATACTGATGTCTTCAATTTGGAATATTTCTTTGCACCATTTGTAAATACCTATTGTGATTTTTTATTCACATTAACATCAACTATTCTTTTAAATATGTTCTGAGCATCTACCATGTACTAGGTATATAGTACAATGATGAGCAAAACCAGACACAGTTCCTGTTCCCATAGTCAGAAGGAGAGAGAACATCATATGAATAAACATGAAATTAAAATTTTCACAATTATACAAAAATTCATGGTACTATGAAAATAGGTAACACGAGGAAGTGACCTGATTTACTGGTTGGCACAGCCTCTGGTAGAAAATGATGTTTCATTTGAGACATGAAGAATGAGCAGGAATTAACTAGTAAAAGCAAGCAAATCAATTCCATGCCCAGGGAAGAGTAAGTTCAAGGGACTTGTATGAATAGAAAGCATCAAAGGATTGAGGAATGAACAATATGATTGGAACAAAGAAACCAAGAGGTACCTCCAACTCTCATTTCTCCTCTGGAGTCCACACCCATGTATCCACCTGCCTATTTGATATCTTCATCTGGGTATTTTTCACTCCTCAAAATCATTGCGTATAAAACCAAGTTACTAATCTTGCCAAACTTAGTTCTTTCCCAATACTCCTCACTTTATTGAATGGCACCACCATCTGTCCAGTTGGAAGTAAGAAACCTAGGAGTCATTGTCGACAATTCCCTCTTCAATCTCTCACCAAAATCTTAAGGATTTTATCACTGGTTACAAAACAGTGTTCATCATAACCCAGACATACTATGTTCTCTCATGCCACAGGCCTTCACTTTTGCTGGTCCCCATGCTTGGAAATTCCTCCCCACCCTTTCCCTTCTCTTCTTAGCAACATTCTACTCATCCTTCAAGACTTAATCTAAACATACTGCATTTAAAGTGTTCTACTACCCCTGTGCAGAAATAATCCCTCCCTCTTTGGTGATACCAAAACTTTGTAAATACCTCCTCATCTTTGTTACAGGTTGGGTCCTCTGGTAAGCAGACTTTGAGATAGATTAACATATAAGGAAGTGCTCTTGGAACAAATGCCAGTGGAAGGAGGAGAAGGAAGTAGGACTGGGCAGAGGGAGAACTGAGCTGAGATACAGTACAGACAGTCCTCAGCCAAGCCCAGGGAGTGCTCTGGGGCTAGGATGGTCCTTTAAATTCGTCCCAAGTTGGGGCAAGAAAGCCAGAGTTCATACCCCTAGGCTGATGAATCACTGGATGTGGGCTATCCCTGGAAGAAGACATGACCTTGGCTGAAAAAGTTTTCCTCAGGAATCTCCCCAAAAATCTGATACCTAAGAGACGACTTCTGGTAATACTCTGAAAGATGGGGAATAAGTCCTTCATTACTGATGGGGGATCTCAGAGGTGCATTGGCACAGCATGCAGTATGATCCCTTACTATAGCAATAATCTCCTGTATTAAGACTATTTAAGAAAGGGCCCATCATCCTCACTAGGTTCTGAGATTTCTAAGGATAGACAGCATGTATTTAAAGCAAAGAGCTGGGATTTAATAAAAGTCCAGTGAAAAAATGATTGAATAAATGACCCAAGGAGACTGATTAACCAAAAACACAGGAGCTTAACTGATGAAACCAAGTGACAATTTCTTCCTTTACACGAGTATTTCTCAACCATTTTTTCAATATCACCCCTCTTAGGGCCTTTTTAGAAATTTTTTCCCAATCGCAACCCATGAAATTTAATGCCACAGATATACTGTGTATCTGTGCATCTAGTGTATTTTGTCTATACATTATACATTAAAAAGGCGTGGTTTTTTTTGCCCCAAGAACTAATAATTTTCACCCCTATGGGAGCAGTATTGCTCCACTGAGAATGCATGATTTATACTAATATAACTGCTGAGAGGATCAGATTACTTAAGTCAGCTCTTCAACCCATTCTCTCTTATGTAGTAAAGTCTACATGAAGCCTCACATGGGTGTGGTGTGCTGAACATGAAATCAGAGCAAAGGGGGTTAAATGACCTTAGGGGATACCTATTGAGCTAAGATGGCCTAATATACTTTTCTCCACTGTAAGATTATAGCAACCCAGCAATTGTATAGTCAAGGGAACCTCTTATTTTGTCAGGCTTCTGTGCAAACTATTACTTTTGTCACTTAAATTTAATTACAAAGTATTTCGGGCATACAAAAAGTAGAGATCATCCAAGGAGCAGTCTTGTACCCATAACCTAGTTTAAGAGAGAAAACATTATAGATACATTTGCAGCCCCCTGTATACTGCACTCCCCATTTCTCTTGCTTTCCCTAGAAATAACCACTATCCTCAATTTGGTGTACATTATTCCCATGCATGGTTTTACGTTTTTATCTGTAAACTTATTTTTTGAACTTTGTATACATAGTATTAGAATGTAAATATCCTTTGATATGTTTATTGCTGCAAGGCATTCCACTGAATGACTACATCACAACTTTCACTTTTGTTGTTACATTCAGTTTTCTCTGCTTCCTCTGGCCTCTAGCCTCATGCTCTAATTTCAGTTCCATACAGGTTCTCAGCATTTTCTGATCTTTCAAAGAGACTTGGAAATGTCTTTGCACTTTCAGCAACACATTTATAAACCATCTTTCACCTTAGGATACTTCTGCAGATAATTTCCTTATTTACTAATTCTTACTAGATTTATTCTGAGGATAACCCTATCCTGACCATATCTCCAAATTCTTGGCAAACTGCAGTTGCCTGACTTACTGTAAAATCTTCCTCCTAGGTGTATAATTCTGTGACCCAGGAGTTTATAATGGAAATAGTCTACATTTTAAAAACCCAAGCCTACACTTTTCTTTCATCGGTCCTCAAAGATAAGCTACTCGACAGAAGCTTCCTGCACTGTTAAGGACTGAATGTTTGGGTCTCCCCTCCAAATTCCAAAGCTGAAGCCCTAAGCCCAATGTGACTGTATTTGGAGATAGGGCCTTTAAGCAAGTAATTAAGGTTAAATGAAGTCATAAGAATAGAGCCCTTATAAGACACCAGAGAGCTTGCTGGCTGGCTCTCCACCATATGAGGACACAGAGAGAAGGTGGCCATCTGCAAGCCAGGAAGAAATCCCTCACCAGAACCTGACCATGGTGGCACAGTGATTTCAGACTTCCAGCCTCCAGAACCGCAAGAAAATAAATTTCTGTTGTTTTAGCTACCTAGTCTATGGCATTTTGTTATGGCAGCCCGAGCAGACAAATACACATGCTAACCCCAGGAATTGATCACACAGTATACTGAAAAAGGACCAACCAAGGGGTCAAGAGCAGTGGGAAGACTGCGTTCTGCCCTGAGCTCAGCCACTCTGACTCTAGGGTTTGACAACCCTTTGAAGTTTCCTTTTTCTCTTCTATGAAATGGGAGACTTTAAGTAGAACTTCTGCAGCTCCCTTAAAACTTCCAAATTAAAAAGGTTAAATCACATATTGTGGGCTATGGCTCAGGCAATTACAGTGCCAGCATTTTATCCTCAAGAAGTAATTATGGATATTCACAAAGATCTAGTTAACAAGCATGTCCATGACAGAATTGCATTCAAGGGCAAAAAACAAAAACAAAAAATTCGTAAATAATCTAACTATCCAAGAATAAAGTATGTTAAATAAACTACAGTAGAGCCAGAAAATAAGTGAATATTTATTGTGCACATCTGTAAAAACTGCTTTTGTTAACTAACATCAAGGATATAGCTTGATGGATACAGTTGGGAAACCTTGTTTTTTAAAATCATAGATTGTTAGGAATCCCATCAGTGAGAATGGAACATCCCATTCTTGTAAGGATGTGAGCCTTGAGAGTCACTTTGAATTCCTTCATTGAGGTACATTTGACATAAATTAAACTACAATATTTAAAGTATACAATTTTGTAAGTCTTGACATATATACCCATAAAACCATCACAACAATGAAGATAATGAACATGTCCATCACTCCCCAAAGTTTCCTGGTAATCCCCTTTGTAACCCCTCCCTCTCACCTCTCTTTGCTTCTACCCTCCCTCCCCAAGTAGCCAGTGATTTGCTGTCAGTACAGATTAGTTTGCATTTTCTAGCTTCATATAAATGGAAACATATAGTACGTACTCTTTTTGGCCTGGCTTCTTTCACTGAGCAGAATTATGTTGAGATACATCTATGCTGCTGCTTGTATTCACAGCTCATTCCTTTGTATTTCTGAATGGTATTCCATTGTACGGGTCAGGCCTGATATTAACTCTTTTAGACACAGCCTGCTTTACTTTGAGTTTTTCAAAGCATTGCTTAAGTTTTACCTAAACTTCATTCCGCTGCAAGTTAATAAACCTAACTTTGTGGGACTACAGGTGTGTTCCTGGTGAGCTTTATCAGAGAGTTTTATCAACTGACATGAACGTTCATGACCACATGAAGTGCAAAACAGTAAATATTGCATAACGCCATTTTTGTTTTTAAAATTACTTGGAAAGACGACTAGAAAGTTATATATGAAAAATGATTATATCTGTATTACCAAATACAGTAAACATACCTTTTTTAAGGTTAAAAGACAGTCATGGAAAAAAAGAAGAAAGGTCATATGATTTCACATAATCAATACTTGCTAGGACACCAAAAGAACAGGCAAACCCCACTACTATTATTGTATATTAGTTTAATTCATAAATCCACAGATGTTAACCTAGAATGGGCAGTGCAACTTATTAGGAAAGTCATCGCCCTTCACATCTCTAGAACCGAAACATAAATGTAGGATTATAAACCTAATTTCAGAAATATAAATGGAATTTGGAACCTTTTAGAGTTAAAGCACATCCCGATGACACTAAGTTTTTGGCCTTGTAATTTAAGTCTGTATAACGCTTAGCAGGAGCAGTAGTTTATTTTTATTATTATTTACAAAACTCCCTTCCACCCATTGATCACAAGATGCATTACAACACTATTGCAAAATAGGTCAAAATACTTAATACATTTTTGGCTTTCGGTGGTTATTAATATTAGCCCCTTTCTAGTTTTTGAGAAAGCCTGCAGGATTTAGTTCACTTAAGAATAAACAGAGTTTAGGGGTTGGCCCCGTGGCCGAGTGGTTAAGTTCGCGCGCTCCGCTGCAGGCGGCCCAGTGTTTCGTTAGTTCGAATCCTGGGTGCGGACATGGCACTGCTCATCAGACCACGCTGAGGCGGCATCCCACATGCCACAACTAGAAGAACCCACAACGAAGAATACACAACTATGTACCCGGGGGCTTTGGGGAGAAAAAGGAAAAAATAAAATCTTTAAAAAAAAAAAAAGAATAAACAGAGTTTCCTTACAGTAAAATGGAATTTTAAAACCCTAGGGGAGCCTCCAAACATCGTGTAATTAAAAGCTGAAAAGGCAAATTCATTTCCTCCTAATGTTACCCAGAGATAGTCAACACAGCCTATAAAATTTCTCGAAACTCCTTTTGTAGTCTTGGATAAAAGCTTAAAATGCAACGAGGAAGCTCTCTACATGTCAACACAATCTAGTGTGCTTCTCTTATTACTTCTTATTAAAGCTACAAATTAGTAGGAAAATAGCGCCGCCCACGGGCTTCCCAAATTTTGAATTCTGGGGACTAACAACAGCCAGAGCAAGAGTGAATGAGCGACACGATGCGAACGCGCCCTAGCCAGGCTGGCAAATGGTTGGCACGCAATAAGCGTTAGCAGTGGGCCCTGAAGAGAAATACCCAATTCGCGAATTACGCCTAGGCCCTGGAAGAAGAGTGCCCGGCTTCAGATTCAACCGAGCCCACTCTGGAGGGATCTAGCCGACCGGTGACCCAGGGAGAGAAAGCCCCTTCGACCCCAACACCACTTCCAGAAAAGAGATGAAGAAAACCTGCACCTACTAGGGAGACTTTGACTCGTGACCCGGTTCCCCGCTCTTCACGCTTCCCCGCCCGCCCCCTATCTCCCGGGCTTCCTCGAGAGCCCCTCCCCTGGCTCACTCAAAGCGCCACGTCTCCTAGCTGCGGGCCACCAGTCACCCGGCGGAGACTTCCTCCAGTTAACCCCTGCTAGGCTCGCGTCCAGAGTCACCGGCCCAAAGGACCGGCACCCGACCCCAACGGGTCACCCCCAACGGCAACCGCCACGCCCGCGCCCGCACGGCTCCCGCCCCGCCCCACTGGCCCGCACGTGACACCCATGCGCCGCCCGCCAAAGCCCACGTGACCCGCGGCCCTCCCCGGCGTCCGCGCGCGCGGCGTGGATCGCGGCCGGGGCCGCCATTGTTCCGCCAAGGGAGGACAGCGGGGCCTGGCGCCGACACGCCGCTTAGCGGCCGCCACTGGAGACACTCCCTCCCGCCGCCCCCTCCTCCTGCCGGCGGCGGAGTGAGGCTGACGAGGGGGAACAGGGAGTCCCCTCTCCTCCTGGCGGCGGCAGCGGCCGATCCCCGGCTCGGGCGCGAGGGGCGGCCGCGATGCGCTCGTCCTGAGGCAGTCGGCTCGGCCCTTCCTCGCTTCCCTTGACTGTTCCACGGCGTCTCTGCGGCCCGGCGTCATCCCGCGAGTCCCTGTGACAGGACAGGGAAGATGGCTGCATTGAGCTCACCGAGCTGGCTGGACGAGCTGGCCCGGCAGGCCGAGGAGGGCTCGGCCCGGCTGCGGGAAATGCTCTCGGTCGGCCTAGGCTTTCTCCGCACCGAGCTGGGCCTCGACCTGGGGCTGGAGCCGAAGCGGTACCCGGGCTGGGTGATCCTGGTGGGCACGGGCGCGCTCGGGCTGCTGCTGCTCCTCCTGCTCGGCTACGGCTGGGCCGCGGCTTGCGCCGGCGCCCGCAAGAAGCGGAGGAGCCCGCCCCGCAAGCGGGAGGAGGCGGCGGCCGCGCCGGCCCCGGCCCCTGACGATCTGGCGCAGCTGAAGAATCTCCGGAGCGAGGAGCAGAAGAAGAAGAACCGGAAGAAACTGCCCGAGAAGCCCAAAGTGAGTAGGGGGACGCGGGGGTGAGTCGGGGCGAGGGGCGGGCGCCCAGACCCTGGGCGTGCGGGGGGCCGAGAGCCGGGTGCCGATCCCCTGGGAGCAGGAGGTGACCGGTGGACGCGTTACTTGGGGAAGGGTGGGAACTCAGGAAGTATAGGACGGGTGGGAAGCCCTGTTTCGAGGAAGGAAGTTAGACGGTCTGGGGTATGTTTAAATAAAAGCTCCCAGAGGTCAGGCTATTTTCGGGAACCTTGACCGTCAGAATAACGTAGAACCTTGCTTGAGGCCTACGGGTGGCTAGGCTGCGTGTGTAGAGGGTAATGAGACCTTAAGGTGGTGCTGGGAAGTTGTGGAAAGCCTGCGCCTGGAAGACAGATGTCTAGCAAGTCACGTTGAGACGGTAGCCAATGGGGGAAGTACGGTGACCTAAAAACTCTGGGGCTTACAGAGGATTAAAGGTAGCCGGGTCTAGATGCGCTTCCATTTTAGTTGAGACTGTTAGAGGGAAATGGTTGCCTACTCTTATTCCCGTAAATGTGGCCGATGGAGGCCTTAACACGAGCAAGGCGAGAGGGAGTCGGTTGACTAATATGCTTTGGGGTCCCTGGCCCTAAGAGCGAGCTAAGGCAGGTTCAGCGAAGTGGTGTGGGAGGTTTCGAAATAGAGGGGAAGGAGATGACAGAGCAGAATGGTGCGGACTGAGGGATTCAGGCACCGATTTACCGGACCACGTGTGGAAATGCAGAGAGCATTACATCCGTTTCATCATGCCTTCATGTTTTCTACATTCTTTATTGCCATTTCCCCACGGTTCTCCCATTGTATCTTTCGTGGTTGTATTTTTTTTAAAATACCTTATAACTGAGCAAGCAGTATGGAGGGTGTGCAGAATTAGAAACAGCTCCTAACCTGTTTTTACATCCACTGAATTAAGCTCTTTACCTTTTCAGTGCATAAAGCAGATGAATCAGGGCGCTAAAGTGAAGTGCACTCTGGTGTTTGGTGCGCAGTGGGAGGTATACACATAGGAGTTAGGGTCAATTGTGGAGACCCGTGGTAGCAGACAGATTCATAAATAATTCTAATACTGCATAGACTGATAGGTGCTCTAGAGGTGTGAGCAGTGTTAATGAGGTTAGTATGATACACTAATGGAGAGATTTAGGAGAGTTATTGGAGAAACTGGGGTTTGAGTTCAAATTAAAGTAATGAGAGTATTGTTGGTAACACTACAATGAATAAGGCTGTATTAGAGACGTGACAGATCACAATTACCACATTATTAGGTTTAGATAAGTATTCACATTTTCCCTGCTGATTAAGAGGGTGCAAGACACAAACAAAACCTAGAAAAGGGTACAACTTGGTCAATATGAATACTCTCTTAAGTTAGGATAGGAGAAAAATAGAACTGATTTGGAACATATATAGTTATATTTAAATTTGTAAAGAGCATCAAGGATTACCAGAAAGTAATGTTATGGTGGAAATAAAGAATCTGGCTCAAGATAAGGAAAAAGGTGATCTTGAAAAAGCCACATACATTAATAAGGCTAAGCCCTGTATGGATGAAGCAGGTTGTGAAAATTTTGAAGCCCTGTTTGGGACATCTCGAATTTCACATAGACTCAAGTAGAGAGACAGGTGCTCCAAGAGCCCATCCGAAGTGCATCATAACACTCAGATGACTCATCTGAAGAGGGAACATGGACTACTGTGAAACTTGCACTGTGAAAAATGCTCATCAGATTTAGGGCTTATCTCTTCTACTCTTCATTTAAGTTAAGGAAGCAGGGGATGAATAAATATCTAGTATTAGCTTTGGAGAGTGGAGAATGGGAAGACTAACTGAATGGTTGAACGGTATTTGGTTGCGAAGATAGCTTTGCATACCTAATGGTAAAGATGTGTTGGAGAAGTTTAACAAACATTTACAAAATTGTGACTTTTAAATTATTTTGACTACAACCTACCGTAAGAAATACATTTTACGTTACAACCCCCCCACACACATATCATACTGTTCTGTTTGTTTTTCTTTAATGATCTTTGTGACCCACTAAATTAGCTTCACAGTTGATTGTGTGGCATGACCCACAGTTAGAAAAACAGTGTTTTATAGAACTAAGAAGTATAAGCTGCCGTTTATTTAGTATTCTGTGCTTTGCGCTGTGCTAAGTGTTTACTTGGAGGAAAGCAGGATACTGCTTGCAAATTGAAGGCAGTACAAAGGAATACAATATTCATATGTCTCTCTCTGAAGGGGATACAAAAGTAAAAGCTCAGTTTCTCCCCAGGGAGCTTTTTATTGCAGTTGTGGAAAAAGATATATTCAGAAAATTAACAATGCAACCCCAATGTGAGCCCAGGTGGCCACGAAAGACCTTATCACAGACTTTGGCTTTGAAAATGGGTAGGAGCGGGATAGTGGGAGAGGCTGAAGAAACTGCAAAGGCCCAGGGGAGGAAAACTTCACTCTTGTCAGCCTGGCAGGAATGAGGAACTCTAAACTTGAGTAAGACATTTAACTTTACTCTGTGTAGCTTGTTTATAAATTGAAGATCTTATTTGAGTTCAAGCACTGCAGGATTCTTCAAAGTGTTTTCCCTGACTACTTGCAATAGAGTTACTTTGAATGCTTGTTAAAATTTGTAAATTCCTGAGCCCCACCACAGATGTTAGAAATTCAAAATCTCTGGAACTGAGTTCCAGGAATTTGCATTTTTAATAAGCTACCTTGGTAAATCCTTGCCTGTTAGTTTGAAAATCACTCACTGGAATTGGGCCATAAGATCCATAGTGTAAGAGGGATTTCTCAGTGGAATATGTTTAATCTTATAAATCATCTCTTCATTACTACATCATTCTGATATACATTTTAGGATATACTTAATCTGATTCAAGTGGATTCAGTTAAGTAAACTATGGTTTCTTTGAAAAGACATTGCATATTTCCTTAAATATTTTGTTTTCATCCTTTATTCCATTATTTTTAGTTTTCTCTTAAATTATTCCAAATTTTGCAACTCACGTTTTCAAGATTTGTTTCTATTAGCTTGTTTTTATTTGTAAAGTAGGTGATGTTTAGTTTTTCAAAAACTATTCATAAGCATTTTTTGAAATTTTTCTATCACTTTCGTTTTTATCCCCTAGTAATATCTTGCCATAGGTCTTTTAGAGCGTGAATTGCAGTTTGTTCCCCTATTAAAAGTGAAGAGAGTGGCACTTTTCGCTAGGCTTAGATCTTGGCATTTTTGGAAGTCATTGCCATCTTTATTGTATTTTCCATGACACATAGTTCAATCTGAGTATTGGTACTCAGTAAATATTTTTCACTTGACTTAATCTAAGCAATGATTTAGATGGGTGTGAGATCTCAGATAACTGATCTTTAACAATTGTTGCTTTGAATTTCAACTGAAAGCACATAACCAGGATCAACTTCAAAGGAAGTTTATCTTAGTGTACTAGTTATTTTTATGTTAGTATAGGAATTTTTATAAAGATTTGCTATAATGCAATTGTCAGTATCTATAAAGTGAGTGAATAAAAGAGTAGTGTTTTGTCTTGTTCGCTACTGTATAATCTTGCACAGTACTTGGCACTCAATAAATAATTATTGAATGCATAATATAGTATTTATATGGCTATTCCTATTTTTCATGCCTAATAAACAGCCATACGAGCCACCTTTTTATTTTTGCAGTGAAAATGGCTGTGTTTGCCTCATCTAGCTAAAATTTTGTAAGATCCATCCTTCTAGAACCAATAAATCATTCTAATAGTACACATTGTCTTTTGTAGTCATTACTTCTGTTCCAGTTTCACTGCCACTGCCCTAGTTTGGGACTTTATTACATTTTACTTAGACTATTCTTAAGCATCCTAACTGGTTTTCCTGCTTCCAGTCTCTGTTGCCAATCCTTCCTCACACTCATTCACACTCATGCCAGTTAAATCTTTAAAGCCCAACTCTGATCATGTGACTTTCGTGTTCACATCTTTTCAGTAGTTTCCCCGTCACCTATTGAATAAAATTCAGTCTGTGACATGGTACTTGAGCGTCTTCATGCTCTCACCCCTTCTTAGCTTTCTCTCTTAACATCAACCCTAAGACATTACCATTAGCTAGACTTCTGTGTCTCATTATTCGTATTATTTTCTTCTGTTAAAAGGCCCT